ATCGGATCTCACATCTTAAAGTACATTATAGAATTCATACTGGTGAAAAACCCTATGCATGCAAGGAATGTGGGAAAACCTTTAGTCATCGGTCTCAGTTGATTCAACATCAGACTATTCATACTGGCAAGAAACTCTATGAATGTAAGGAATGTGGGAAGGCTTTTAATCAAGGCTCAACTCTTATACGACATCAGAGAATTCATACCGGTGAGAAGCCCTATGAATGTAAAGTATGTGGAAAGGCCTTTAGAGTAAGCTCACAACTCAAGCAACATCAGAGAATTCACACTGGAGAGAAACCCTACCAATGTAAGGTATGTGGTAGGGCCTTCAAACGGGTCTCACATCTTACCGTACATTATAGAATTCATACAGGTGAAAAGCCATACGAATGTAAGGAATGTGGGAAGGCTTTTAGTCATTGCTCACAACTGATGCATCATCAGGTTATTCATACTGAGACAAAGCCCTGTGAATATAAGGAATGTGGGAGGACCTTGAGTCATGATTCAGCTACTGTTCAACCTCAGAGAATGCAAAATAGAGAAGCACATGTGAATCTAATAAATGTAGAGAAGCCTTCCATCAGCACTTACCCCTTACTAATCATCAGAGAATTTATGTTGGCAAGCAACCATATGAATGGAAGTAATGAGGAAAGCCCATTAGCTTAGGCTAATCACAACTTACTCCTCCCTCTTGGAGAAAGACTTAAAGAATGTAATGCCAGTGACAATGCCTTCATTCAGAGGTTATCCTTTATCCTAAGTCTGACAATTCATATCAAAGAAAATTTTATGGATGTAAATTGTTCAGACCATGATTGTCAAAGAAGCAGGGAAAGGTTGGCAGAAATTTTATTTCAGAACACATTCCAGAATCACATTTTCTAACCACAGTGTAGTAATTTTATCAAGAATGAAAAGTTTTGGTTTTCTTACAAGTTAAAAATTTTTTAACAGCCAAATTATTATTTGCTTAACAAGGAAATAAATCATGCAATTATCATAAATGGTAATGAAAAGGATGAATTGAGAATTTACCATGCCAAGAGATGTGAAATGTGGCTAATGAGCTGTGAGGGTAATGGGGAAAGTCAAAGCTACACTGGAGTAATTTTTACAGCCTTTGAATGCATGTATATACATGAAAATCTGAAAGCTAAACTCATGCACCAAACATACTATTCAAGACTATCAGACACCCAGGCAGTGAAAGTAGGATATAAGAGAAAATTATTAAATCAAGTGACCATCTTAACATTAATCTCAGTTTTTATTTCTTCCTGATCCAGAAATAATCTAAATTTAGGAGAATATTTCTTAATTTCCACATTGTTACATTGTTTTATGTGACTGGTGCAGAGAACCATTGGTTGCCATACCAGCAGCCATACCCAGTTCCCCTTGTTATTGGCAGCATCTGTGTCTTTCCTTAGACTGAGGAAATCAGATGCTAATTTTCCAGCCTCATGTGCAGCACAGCATGGCCTGGCCAGTGTCAGTCTTGCTAAGTGGGATCTGCTGGGGCTTCTGGGAAAGATTTTCCTCATTTGGAAGAGACAGGTTTATCGTGAAGACTTCCTCCTCCCTCTCTTCCTGCTTTTAAACATTTTTCTATGAGAACATGATGCCTGGAGCTGCTGCAGCTATCTTGGAACCAAGAAAACAACAAAGTAGACCTCAGAGAAGCTGACTCTGAGCCTGAAAAGACTCAGCTACTAGGCCAATTCTGGAACTGCCTCTTTGAAGCTCTGTTATGTAAGAAAAATAAACCTTGATTGCTGAGTTACTTTTAGTTGGATATTTTGTAAATTCACAGCCAAAGCATCCTAAATGATATAATTTCAAATTTAATTTTATTATGATTAGTAAATGTGGCCTGAAAATACCTCCTTTTTTGAATGTGACTTTTTTTTTTTTTTTGAGACAGACTCTTGCACTGCCACCAGGCTGGAGTGCAGTGGTGCAATCTCAGCTCGCTGCAAACTCCACACTCCCAGGTTCAAGCAATTCTGCCTCAGCCTCCTGAGTAGCTGAGACTACAGGCACAAACCACCACACCCAGCTAATTTTTGTATTTTTAGTAGAGACAGGGTTTCACCATGTTGGCCAGAATGGTCTCAAGCACTTGACCTTCTGATCCACCCACCTTGGTCTCCCAAGGTGTTGGGATTACAGGTGTGCGCCACCACGCCCTGCCAATTTGACATTTGTGTGTGTGTGTGGTTAAGTACAAGACTTATTTCTATATATGGTCCATGAACATTGAAAAAATACATATTCTACATTTTTGGATACAAGTTTCTAAATAAGTCTGTTAAGCCACTAGATTACAATGGTAAAAATCTCCCTGTTTTTATATAATTTGGTATGCTGGATCAGAATTTCCTAAAAAATTTTTGCAAATATCTTGAATTTCCAGACGTTTTTGTTGTTTATCTTGTTTGACCTACAGGGACATACTACTAACCCTCTATTTATGAATCATACCTTTATCTTTATATAATATCCCATTTTGCCTACTGTAGCGTCTAAAACCCAAATCCAGCCTTCTGCCTGGTTTATAAAGTCTCATTGTGACACACTGCATTTATGATCTAAAGCTGCGTTTGCTTCACTACGGCAAAGCTGAGTAGTTGCAACAGAGATTATATGGCCACAACACCTGTATTTACTGTCTGGTTCTTTTTTTTTTTTTGAGATGGCATCTCAAACTGGAGTGCAGTGGCACAGTCATGGTTCACTGCAGCCTCAGCCTCACATTCATACAGTCCTACCTCAGCTTCCTGAGCAGCTTGGACCAGAGGCATGTGCCACCATGCCATGCTCATTTTTAAAAATAGGTATTTTGTAGGCAGGGTTTTCCTGTGTTGCCCTGGATGGTCTCAAACTCCTGGGCTCAAGCAATTCTCCCATGTTGGCCTCACAAAGTGCTGAGATTACAGGTGTGAGCCACTGCACCTAGCCTTGTCTGGTTTTTTAGATTAAGTTTGGGTCAGGCACTCTGACTCCCGTCTGTAATTCCAACACTGGGAGGCTGAGGCAGGAGGATCACTTGATACCATGAGTTCTAGACCAGCCTAGGCAACAAAGGGAGATCCCCATCTCTACAAAGAAACAGCAAAATTAGCCAGCTATGGTGGTATGCGCCAATAGTCCAACTACTTGCGAGGCTGAGGTGAGAGGATCATTTGAGCCCAGGAGTTCAAGGTTGCAGTGAGCTGTGATCACACTATGCACTCCAGTCTGGGCAACAGAACAAGACCTTGTCTCAGAAAAAGAAGTTTGCTTACCCCTGACCCAGAGTAATTGTTTTGGTATTTTATTCCCACACTGTGTAATGGCAATGAATAATAATGATTTCTCTTTATCTGGTATGTTTTTGCCTGTTGGTTTTCAACATCTGTCACCTTATATAAAAATACATATTCATGTTCCACAATAAGTAGTATATGCAAACCTACCTGCAAAGGTTCAGGGAATGGAAAAGCTGAGAAAGGCTGGCAAATCCAAATTCTCAGAAAGAAACATTTAATAGGGATGTCAGAACAGAAGTAGTTTCTCCAGTAGCTGTGATATGGTGGATTCCTGTACCCACAATATCACAGGCTTTTTTGGTAGAACATATGCATGGCACCTCATTGCTTTTCAGACCCCTTTTGAAACTCATGACCCAGTGGGAAAGTTAGATAAATATCTTTATGAGGCATTATCTATGCTAAAGTCATTGTTTCTTGATCTTGCTGAAGGACTGTCTTGTGCAGGAGTCAAATGATCATTATCGCAGTTTCACTTCAAGATAGTGTTACTCTTGCTATGCAAAAGGCTGTTTTCCTACAAGTCATGTGCTGCTAATTTCTAAAATTTTTTGTAGAGACAAGGTCTTGCTATGTTGCCCAGGCTGGTCTTGATCTTCTGGGCTTAAGTGCTCCTCCCACCTGGGCCTCCCAAAGTGCTGGGATTATAGGCATGAGCCACCATACCCAGCCTAGAGAAATTTGTTAAAATACAATAAAACTGGAAGACTTACACGACCAAATTTCAGGACTTCCTCTAAAGCTATATGAAACAGATTATTTCAGAAGTGTACCCATGATAGTTAACTGAATTTTGCAAAAGGTGCCAAAAACAATGTAAGGGAGAAAATGAAAGCCATCTCCCAAAACTGGTGTTACTATGAGTCAATAATATGGGGGGAAATATACTTCAACCTTTATGTTCCTGGATCAAGCTAAGGGTCGGGCTGCTGTTTATTGAGGCCAAATAACAAGATGCAGACAAATTGGAGAGGAAGAGAGTTTCTATTTCTGTAGCCAGTTACAAGGAGAGGCCTGGAAATTATCACCAGACCAACTCTAAATTACAAAGTTTTCCAGAGCTTATATACCTTCTAAGCTATATGTCTATGTGTAAGTGTGCATTCATCTAAAGACATAAGTGATTAACTTCTTTTAATCTATGACTAAGGTCTCAGTCTTGAAGACCTTTCTCTGGACCCTCAGTAAATTAACTTGATCTAAATGGGTTCAGGTTCTGGGGTGATTACCCTTATCTTGTCTCCTGCTAAACCACAGGGGTTTGGGGAGTTCCTTCAGACCTCCAATAAACTTGTTTGTGGAGGCATAGGGAGTTTCTTCAGACCCCCAGTAAAACCTGTTTCATCCTAAATGGGTCCAATTAAGAATTCCTTCATTATTTTATCATGTTTTCAGGCCCAGGAAAGGCCTAGGCAAAACTCTTGGTGGGCTTTTGTTACATTTCAGCCTTTGTATAAGGGCACTGGCTTTTAACATTTAACTTAACCACTCAGTCAGTACTGAAAGTTTTTATGGAGGCCTGAGTTTGGTGAGATCTGGCCTGCCACACCAGCACTTTGGGAGGCCGAGAGAGGAGGACTACTTGAGCCCAGGAGTTCAAGACAAGCCTAGGTAACACAGCAATACTTCATCTACAAAAAATAAAAAAATTAGCCAGGCATGGTGGCACACGCCTGTAGTCCCAGCTACTCAGGAGGCTGAGGCTGGAGAACTGCTTGAGCCTAGGAGGTCGAGGCTGCAGTGAGCCATGATCAGTATGATGAACTCGTGTATAATATGTCAAATTTTCACAAAGCAATCCACTCATCAGCAGATCCCTGATCAAGAAACTGAATATTTACCAGCAGCTCCAAGATTTCCCAAGATTGCTTCAAGACACACCTCTTGCTTTCCTGAATTCTGTCACCATAAATGAGACAGACTACAATATATTTAATGAATAATTTTTAATTTTTTCTTGATATTCTTCCGGTGCCAGTATTTTCTTTCTCTTTTAAGAGACAGGGGTCTTTCTATGTTGTCCAGGCTGGAATGCAGTGGCTATTCACATGTGTGATCATGAAGCACTATTGTGATGAAATGCTGGGCTGAAGTGATCCTCAGCTTCCCAGGTTGCTGGGACAACAGGTGTGTGCCACTGTGTCCAGATGCCAGTATTTTTTCTATGACTACATCTTCTAAAAGATCAGAAAAAGACATATACAGGTTGAATATCCCTAATTTGAAATGCTTCAAAATCTGAAACTTTTTGAGTGTTGACATAATATTTAAAAAAAAAATGCTCATCGGAACACTTTGAATTTTAGATTTAGGATGCTCAACCAGTAGGTATAATGCAAATGTTAAAAAACAAACAAACAAACAAACAAAAACCAAAATCTGAAATACTTCTGGTCCCAGGCATTTTGGATAAAGGATACTCAGCCTATACAATAATATTCATAGCAGTTTTATTAACAGCCAAAAACCTAGAAACATCCCAAATGTCTATCAACTGGAAAATGAGTAAGTAGACTAATATATTAACACAATGGAATACTCAGCAGAACAACAACAAATAATGGACATCAATGAATATCAAGAAACATTATGTTGAGCTAATGAAGCCAGACACACACATGCAAACTACTTGACTCCATTTATGTGAAGCCAAGCAAAACAAATCCACTGTCATCAAAACAAGAAATCGTTTTCCTTTTCCAAGAAACAAGAAATCCTTCATCAAAACAAGAAATCCTTTTGCTTTGAGGGTCAGGAAAGGGAAAAATAGATGAAAAAATACTTGCAAGAGTGATGGAAATCTATCTTGATGGTGAAATTATCAACGGAGTTAAGAAAGCACTGGAAACATGGAGAAAATGGGATAAAAACTGGTGGTTAAAAAAAGCTGTAAGCTCAAATACATCACATCAAAATACAGAAACTAAAGTGATAAAAATGTTTTTTTCTGCATAGTTGTTATATGATGGTTATACATAAATTATATTTATGTATTTTAAAAGAAAAATAAAAAATAAATTTAAAAAATTAAAATTAGTTAAAAAAATTTTTTAAATAAATTTTTTATTTTTCTTTTAAAATACATAAACATAATTTAACAATTTCACGAGTAGCTTCAGTCATAACAAACAGAATGTATAGGGAAAATATTGCCTCTTTTCCTAAAAGAAAGAAAATAAAAGTGTCCCCTCGAAAAGAAAATCTATTTTTCAAACAAAATGTCTTGGTGACTACACTTACCAGGCTAAGAATCAAATGTGGTAGTTTTTGCACAAAATTTCAGAGACCATGCAAATACCCTGAACAGAACCTGTGACTTCATCTGTGAAATTCTTGGAAATACCTTTAACTGCCCAACTTCAAACTGGAACCTGTGATCCCAAACATTATCTTTCACTAATGTTCCTAGTAAATGGCCTGACCTCGTTAACCTGGACTTTCATGCTCAAGACGTCAATCACATTCCCATTCCCCCAAATTTCCAAAGGCAGATTACCATTACTGAGTCTGAACCACTCATTAGCATTTTCTATGCTGTGTCCTCTCAGTCTGGGGCTGTACAGAATGTCAAAGATGACTGAGTATTCACCTTTACTCAAGAAGATGACAGTCTCCAGATAACGGCTCTCGTCTTCTCTAGGGAATGTATCTTTGACCCCCCCAAATAGTGCTTAAAAGACGACTGGTGACAGTGGAGATTCAGAATAATTCATTCGGTGAATAAATGAACACGAAAGTACAGGACATGGACTCTGAGAAGAGAGGTCCCTACAGTCCCATGTGTTGCTGAATGAAAAGACCTGGGCCTTGTCCCTGTGTCAGTCTTTACCACCCAAGTAAGCAAAACTAGATATGCCCAGGACTTAAAACCTATGATGTTGCAGGAAACAAAGATAAAACAAAAACTTACCTGAGACATAGCTAATGCGCACTGTGCTGGAACAGCGTTCTGATCAGCGACAGGGTCCTGGAAATGCAGAGCTAAGGAGAAGGAGGGAAACTTCAGAGACCAGATTCTCGAACCCACTGCCACCCATTTTCAACCATGTTCCTGAACAAACTCCAAGAACGACAGATTTCACTGTCCAAAGAAAACACTGTTTAGCGTGCAGCTCTGGTTCCTAAAAATGTAACGGCCTTTTCCAATGCCTCAGTTGCCTATTCTGGGATAGAACCATGCACACAAATAGCAATTTTAATTATGTCTTCTGTGTGCACAGACGCCACCACACTGATTACGCGCGCACTGTTGTCAGGCTTAGCCGCACCCGCCACCTCCAAACTCAGGCCGGGACGCCGGATCTGACCTGCACTGATCCCTGGGCCTCCAGCCATCCAGCTGGCCACTCCTGCCCGGAGCGCCTCTGAGACGGGCCGCGCGGCCCCAAGCAACACAAGCCTCATAATGTCCCATTATGACGTGGCGCTGGGAAAATACTGTCCAAGAAAGGAGAAGCGGCGACGCTGCCCACTCAGGTCTCTCTGGAGCGCACCGACCTGAAGCCCTGGCCGCAACGCCTGGGGGCCCCGGTGGTTTCTGGGAGTAGGCGAGGACTCGTAGTGCGCATGTGCAGCCCCACGCCCCCGCTCCCAGAGACCGGAATCCAGAGGCGACCTCCGCTAAGTAACAAGGTACCTGGGGCATAAAGTACAAGAAGAGCAGGGTGGAGGCGGTTCCGCTGATGATCGAGTACGCATGCGTGAGCTCGGCCTTGGGGGCGTGACTTTGTGCCCTTAGGAGGTGGTGGGCGAATGCTGCGCCTGCGCACAGAGAGCCAAGCGGTTGCCCTCTGAGGGGTTCCGTGTTTTTCAGTACGAGGATCAGACTTAGTTGGAGGCTGTAAGAGGAGGTGGGGAAAGGGCCTAATGGTAATACATTGGCGTGGAAACGTTCTTAAGTTTGGGAAAGTGTTTGCTATGAGGTGGGTGGGACCACCCGGCGTCTGCTTTGGCGTATCTGATGGTTCATTCTCTGTGAGGTTGTGTGATTTGATGTGCGACCCTGTATGCGTTTCTGTGGGTGTTTTGTTGACTCCTAAGCTGTAGAGTGTGTCTGCTGTGTGACTTTTTATTTTTCTTTTTTTGAGACGGAGTTTCGCTCTTGTTGCCTAGGCCGAAATGCAATGGGGCGATCTCGCCTCACCACAACCTCCGCCTCCCGGGTTCAGACGATTCTCCTGCCTCAGCCTCCTGAGTAGCTAGGATTAGAGGTGCCCGCCACCACGCCCGGCTAATGTTTTATTTTTAGTAGAGACAAGTTTTCTCCATGTTGGCTGGCTGGTCTCGAACTCCCGAGCTCAGGTGATCCGCCCGCCTGCCTCGGCCTCCCAAAGTGCTGGGATTGCAGGCGTGAGCCTCCGCCCCTGGCCTGCTGTGTGGTTTTTTATTAATTGTTTAATCTTGATGAGCTTCAGTTTGCTCATGTGTGCAATGGAACAATATTTCTTAGCTAATAGTGTTGCGAAGATGAAGTGGTCATAATTGTGCCTGGCACAGATAATGGCGTACAGGTTATTTGATTCTACTTAGTCATTGTTTTGAGTTATTTACCAACTCACATTGTGGATCTCTGATGGAAGTGTAAATTAGTTCTTGTCTACACAAAAGTAAATTGTTGGGAGGAGGCTCAGTTTACTTCCCTCCTCCAGCTCCATTTTGGAGTAGGCCAGTTTTTGCCTCTATTTGCTGGTGCACATTATTTTAAATTTTTTTTTTCTTTAAGAAACAGGGCATCCAGGCATGGTGGCTCACGCCTGTAATCCCAGCACTTTGGGAGGC